AATGCTTGGTAAGAAATGTACGCATTATCCTGCCCATGTAATTGTAACCCCTCTGTACAGTATGTTCACAAATAAAATTAAATTAAAAAAAAAGACAGAACCCTTAATATAAAAAAAAAAGAAATGGTTGGGTAGGATAGGTAAGACTATTTTCAAAGTGTAGTATGAACTGGGAAGAAACATAGTTTGTATGTTAGTTCTGAAGCTAAAAGATCAATTCAATCAATTCATCCTGAAACTGTTTCAGGAAGGAAAATTCTATATTTCACATGTTGCAAAGCACACTTTTCTACATTTTCTTCTAAACTTAGTAAATTCCAAGATAGAGATTCTGTGATAGTAAGCATCGTTTATAAGCAATTTTATGATATTTTTCCTGTATAATATCAGTAATAACACTAAAATAATACTTTACCTCAGAGTTAGAAACACCAGTTGTAGTGACTTCTTTTGTTTTATCTACTTGCTGAACAAGGAGGTCACAGTAGAGTCTCAGTTCCGACATTTTGGTTTTCAAGTTTTCAGTGTTTTCAGCAAATTCTAAAAACAAAACAATGGTAATATAGTACTGAAATGAATAACCAATTTCCTAGTTAGTATATTATATAAAAGTGGAACATAGGGGCTGGGAAGGTAGCTCAGTGGTAGAGTGCTTGCCTTGCATGCATGAGGCCCTGGGTTCAATTCCTCAGCACCACATAAGCAAAAAGAAAAAAGCCGGAAGTGGCACTGTGTCTCAAGTGGTAGAGCGCCAGCCTTGAGCTGAGGAGCTGAGGGACAGTGCCCAGGCCCAGAGTTCAGGCCCCAAGACCTGACCCCCACCCCAAAGAAAAAACGTGGAATATATATTTATGTCAAAAATCAAAGTTTTGTAGTGTGGGTTATAGATGTGATCAATAAAGATATAGGAGCAAGAAGAATAGAAAAAGGATAGGTGCAATGATGGGTGAAGTAATATGCATTATTTATCAAGACATGACCAGTACAGGAGACAACACTGCATCTGGACCATCCAGTCAGAATTGGAAGCAGAGTCAAGGGCTCTGACACAGAGTTTTTCCTATGTAAGACAGGGCCAGAGTGATGAACTTGTGATCGCACCACTCTGTTCATACCTGGGAAACAGTATTCTGTTATGTCCTATCAGCACCAAGGACATAGCTTGTCATTTTGGCTGAAAACAGCTTCAGCATGCTGTCTGTCTGGACTAATGGCAGGCACCCAGCCATTATCAGCACAGCCACCAGAGACACCCTGGTGCTGAGGCTCTACTACAATTATTATCACTTCTGTGTCCTTTCCCATGAAAAGCTGCACATTACCACCTGCTCACAATCAAAGCAATAGCTTCAAAAATGTATACCTGATGTAGCAACAAAACAACCAATGATGAGGCCATTGTACTAGGTCTACTTGAAGAGTTAAAAACGTGCTACAATCTTTATGAGAAACACTCCCTAGAATATGTTTTTCCCACCTCATTCCATTCCAACCAATCCTTTACACTATACACACTGAGTCAGGCAGTAAACCTTGGGCACTCTTGCTCCAGTCCAAAGGAAAAAAAAAGTCATGCCATGGTTTTTAAAAGATCTAATGTCAAGTTAGTGAGCATAAGCAGCTGCAATCTGGTAATTACGTATCTATCCAACCTCAGGGAAAGGTAGGAAGAACAGGGTATTTCACTACAGAAAAAAATCCTTACCCAAAGTTTCTCTAACTCAGCCACTCTTTCCTAACTGGGTACTACATCATTTCATATCATCATTAATACTCATAGGAATCCTCCCAAGGTAGGTACTATTATCTGTTTTTCAAAGATGAGGTAACTAAGGCTCAGAAAAATTAAATGATTATGGGAAAATTATATAGCCAATAAACTATAGAGCCATTATTTGAACCCAGGTGTGTTTGGTTCCAAAGCTTGCACTCTATGTACTATGAAATGCATCTACTGAGATTCATAGCATTTACATGATACAAAGAGCTGGCTAGGTAGTCAGAGACATAACAAATAAGGGAACCAGTGGGTGATTCCCAAGGTTCTCACATCAGAGGACAATCCATACTTGCCTTTCTCCTTCTGGGTCCTACTGTCTGTCAAGCAAGCCTTGGCTGACCCCAGGGCCACCAGCCACCGCTGTCTCTCAGCCACACTTCTGGCCTTCAGGTAGAAATACTGTTCCCCAGGGATTATCAGGTCCATTCGAGTATTATCTACAGAATGAACTAGGAGCAAGCAGTGCAGGTGTTATCTATAGAATAAACTAGAAGCAAGCAGAGGAGAGTGTGACCTAGAAGAACTGTGCTTGGGTAGCTTCTACCCACCCAACTCTGGAATTACTGAAGCCTTCTTCCCACACAGGTAAAGGCTCACTAACTCTTCTAATTCACAGAAAGTTCTATTTAATCTACACAGCTCTGCTGATTAAGAAAAAGAGTCAAAGCATTACCAGAAAACAATCACCCCATTTAAGTATTGCTGCTCTGAGGCAAAACCACCTCAGTGCATTCTGCTATGGTTTGCATATGCTCTGGTCCAAAGAGAATGTAAGACCCTCCCAGGAGCTCATGTGTTGGAACAAGGTTCCTAATGTGGTAATAAGTGGTGGTAGTTTAGTGAGGAGGTCCTCAGGGACACTACTTTTGGAGAATTAAGTTCTTATAGGCCTCTGGTTAGTACTTTGGGGGCTATTATAAAGAAGAAGACAGGGTTTTTTCCCAGTCTCTCTACTTTCCTGTCTTACCATGTGATCTATTCCTCTTGCACAAGCTTCCACTGTGATGTCATTTACCATGATGTATTTCACCTAGATACCCTCACCAGACCTAGCACCAAGCTATTTAGACTTTTAACCTCCAAAACTATTAAGCAAATAAAACCTGTTTGTTTATATATTATCTAGATATGGACTAATATACAAGCCAGCAAGTAATGATTTTTAATATCATAGTTGGATTTGTCAATAGATAAAAAGCACATTTTTAACACATTTTGGATTATTTGGCAATCAAGACCACAATACTTTTCCTCAATACTTTTTTCCGTACTTTTACTATCCTCGACAACTCAGACCGTAAGTGCAAAAATCCCCAGATCCTTTTGGGAGAAGAAATAAGCAAAACACATTTTTCTTCACATTTCCTTCCCCCCACCCCCCATTCCCATCTAATCTGCTATCTGAGGCACATATTCTAATCATGTCTCAAGATACCAAATTCAAGTGTAGGCTTATATTTTTGTTTTACTTTGAGAGGTACTTGGGAGTAGGCAGGTATGTGTATGTGAGAGAGAGAGAGACAGAGAGACAGACAGACAGACAGACAGACAGACAGAGAGAGACAGAGAGAGACAGAGTGAGTTTGATACTCTATTAAAAACTGAAACTATATATATATATATATATATATATATATATATATATATAGTAGTTACTGGCCCAGGTAAGTAGATGACTAAGGAATAAGTACTAGCTACTAGCTGAATGATTAAGCAAATTGCTCTAATTTACTTTGACCATTCTTTAACCAATCTCCTTATAAAAATTGACTTAGATTTAGGTTTGATTTACAAATCTTTCCTGCAGTGACTTGACACAATGTAGCTTGATCTGTACTATGAGAGAGGTCAAAGAAAATCACCAAGGGGCTTTTTTACTTTTCCAGAAAAAGGAAAAAAAAATAAAACTTACAAGTCACTTGTTTCTCACCTTGAATTTCACAGACAGCCATTTGGATGCTCCCCTTGCAACCTTTCCAAGCATCTTCAGGAGAATCATAATAGGACAATATTCCCCCACAGAGAAGGAACCATCGAGGCTGCCAACCTGAAAACAAAAGCAGAGCATTATAGTAATCTATCTGAGTAATCTATCATGACTCAGAAATAGGACCTAACACAGGCACCAGGGTCTAGCTTCAAGGAGAAAAGGAATTCCTAAGAGAATGAAGTAGGTTAGAAGAGACTTCTATGTTTGACCCCATTTAAAAAAAAATGAAAAATAAAAAGCATTTTTAATCACATTCTTAGATAAGAGGTCTGATAAGAATCAGCAACAAAATGATGATTTTCCCAAGTAATAGGACTTACAGATGATTTTCATTTTCTTTTTACACTAATATTTTTTTGCTCTAAGATAATTACTGTTACTGAAATGAGTATTATTACTAAATAATTTATTACACTTATCTTTCTTTCTTCTGATTAAGAAAAATTGCCAGAAATTTGGAAACAGCACAACAAAGACAGTGACTTTTTGACAAAGGTCACACATAATCTTTGTGAGCACTAAATATAAGTAAAGGAGTGTGTTATTAAGCCTACCTAAAATCACACAGCTTTTAGGAGAAGGTAACCTTACTGAATTATATAGTCATCTTGAAGGTTTAGCTCCAGTCACTTCAATATTGGAGATTTTCAGGAGATAAACCACATTCAGTAAATATAGACATCTAGTCCTCTCTCATCTAGTCCTCTCAGACCACTTAATTGGTATATTTTGAGCTGGGTCTTCCTCATTATTTGTCATCCCTGATTTTTTTCTAAATAAACTGTTCAGGTTTCCTCAATCAGACATAGTCTGTCCTCTGTCTGAAACACCTTCAGGGCTCTACTGCAGCTGAGACAGTGGAGAAACAGTGTAGGTACAGACATCCAGTGGACTGTTGGGTACTGCTTCATACAAATCACATGGGCAAGACACTGTTATCTAAATGATATGAATTTATTATATATAGAGAGATTGATGTACCCCTAGGGCACCTCTAATCTATGATATGACACAGGGAAACTCCATTAGTAATCAAAAGGCTGAACTGTCAGCACTAAATCTAAAGTCAAGGGTAAGCAAGATTTTCATTCCTCATTCACTTTATCATGGATGTTTTTCTAGGACAGAAATATTCAAGGCCTCACAAGTATCATGTCTCTCACTCCCTTGAGTAAATCTGGAAAAACAGCATCCACTCTCTAATACCTAACCTAAAATATCCTAACATACAACCCTTTGTCACTGAGATAATCTTTTCAGAAACTATAGTTCATACACCATTTGTTACATTTTATATTGAAGACTCTTTCCAGGGAACCAGATCTTTTATAGATCTATAAACCATGTGATAATCCATTTCAAGCTAAACCACTATTGTATGTAACATAAGAAAAAAACTGCCAAATAAACAATGACATGAAACATGATTAGCATTTTGGAGTTGAAATCAGTCTTAAAAGTGAAAAATTGTGCTAGTTTTATCTTAGGAAGCTGAACAATGTTAAACAGCTTCCCTCCTCCACAAAATATATCTGTAAGAAAATTAAAAAATTGCTAGGTAGGAGCAACAATGCTTGATAAGGAATGTACCCATTACTTTGCTCATGTAATTGTAACCCCTCACAATAAAAAATAAATAACTAGGTAAAGGTAATGGCAACTAAAAAAAAATACTTTCTTTAAAAAGGGCTCTGTATTTATACAGAAGTTGTAGTTACACAAGAGGAAGTTTAATATGTCACTATTTTATCCTGTTTTACTTTTTTTCTTCTCATTTTATTTGTGTTTATGAAAATATGATCATGAAGTCCTTAATTTAGTAGCTGGCATATGCAAATAACAAAACTTGTTTTCTGCAAACATAAAGTTCCTGGATTTTTCAAAAGGCATGCTAGAGACCAGAGACCAGCCAATTCTCATTCCCCTTAGATAAGACTGAAATGCAGTGACAATCTAGATTAGTACTAGAACACATCACTTTTTTATGATATCCCTCTGAGAAACTGGGATAGAGCCCAGGAATGAATTGTAGGGGAAAAAAGAGGCATAGATGATGAAAAGGCCATTAATGAATTTCTTGTTGTAAATTACCCTGGAGTGACCTTGGAAATAACAAAATACTCAAAGTATCAAAAGTACAGATGAAAACTGTGAGTCTGTACCAGTCCTTGTTCTCTCGAATTTCTATTAGACTAATCTTCCCCCAACCAGCTCACAACTCCTTTATGCTGTCCTCTACTGAGATGGAATGTGGTATCAAACTCCTTCTTTGGCTGGAAATACAGATTATACAGGAAATGTCAATGAGCAAAAAATAATTTTAGTTCTCATCATCTACCACTGCCAGAAGATGGAGAGAGGAAGAGGGAAACAAGAACATGTAAATGCCAGTTTCATATACTTTATATAATCTAGAACTATTTCACTACAGAAATACACTCAATAACTGGTTTGGGCAATTTAGCATTATATATTTCTACTCAGAAAACCCCTTTTCCCATACAACTATGTAATTTAGGCCTCACTGGTGATTCGCATAACCCTGTTCTCAATGATAGTTCCAGAAAGGACAAATGTCTCAACCAGAGATAATGCTAGTATTTTTGCTGAGATGGGGGCAAACAAAAAGTCTGCTTCTTGTTTTATTTTGGTCTAAAGGTATTTTTCTGGAGCTTCTGGCAGCCATTTTGCTAAAACAAAGACATAAGCATGCTAAGTCACATAAGGGGAAGGAAGAGTTAAGAGGATTTGAGGGGCAAAGGAAGAAGAAAGCAAATCTAGATGATAGTGCTTAGCCTCTCAATCAGATCTGGATGCCTCATGGACTTTTCAACTAAATGAGACAGCCAGTGTCCCCTTCTTATTTCAAGGTTGGCAGAGTTCTCACTAAATATAATCATCTCATTAAATACATAAAAAGCACTTGACAATGCCTCTTCATGATAAATACAAACTAGAACTAGAAGGAAACTTCCTCATCCTGATAAAGGCATCTCTACAAAAACCCACAACATATGTGCATCATTGGAGAAGACAGGTTATTTGCTCTTACCACTTCTATTCAACATTATAGTGAAGATTCCTAGGGCAGTTGGGCAAGAAAGTAAAATAGAAGACACTCAGATCCAAAGGGAAATAACAAATTTAGCTTTATTCACAGATATGCTCTTATGTAATTAAAAAATACAGAGTGAATTCAGCAAAATGAGAATTCAAATGTTTTTTATACGGTGTCAATGAACAATCAGAAAAAAATTTAAGAAAATAAAACATTTACATTAACACCAAAGGAAATACTGTAAAAAAATTAATACTGTAAAACAAATGAATGTAGAAAACATACCTTAGAGAAAAGATCATTACTGAAACTTTAAAAGATCTGAAGATCATTCTTGTAAAACTGCTACAAGATTTTTTCCCTCACATAATCTAAATGCTTTTCTACACATAATCAATAAGAAACTATTTGCAAATTTCATGGGTTTTCTTTTCTGTTTTGTATGTGTGTGTGTGTGTGGGAGACAGGGTCTCCCTAATATTGGCCTTCAATTTGTTGGCTCAAATGATCTACCTCAACTTCTAGACTAACTGGAACTACAGGCTCTTGTAACCACATCCAACTAAATTTTTTTTTATCTTTGACTAAAGTGCCTATCAATATATACAATATACATATATAATACATATATAATATATATTTCAGCGAGCATAGCTTTCTTCAAAAATACATACTTATATTTGGATCCATATAGATATTACTCATGTTAATTCTGTTAATTCTAATAAAAATGTCTTGCTTTTTAAAATACTCTTACAATCTCCTTTCATAAATCAAAATGTTTGGGGCTGGAAAGGTGGCTCAGTGGTAGAGTGCTTGCCTTGCATGCATGAGACCCTGGGTTCAATTCCTCAGCCCCAAATAAGCAGAAAAAGCTGGAAGTGGAGCTGTGGCTCAAGTGGTAGAGTGCTCGCCTTGAGCTGAAGAGCTGAGGGACAGTGCCCGGGCCCAGAGTTCAGGCCCCACAACTGACCAAGAAAAAAATAAACATAATAATAAATCAAAATGTCTAAACAGAAATGTTTTTATTTCTTTACAGATTCAAACCACGTGTTTTGTGAGTAAAACCTACTTACAACTAAAAAATACAGCAGCTTCTCTTCCTTTTTCCCCAGCAGCCTTGTAACAAGCAACTCATCCAAACATAACAATATAGAGGATGCAGGTGCCCAACACTCCATGAAATAGCCACTTAAACTTCCATGAAATAAAATTCAATCTTCGAGAGAGCGTTCTGAGTTTCAATGTGGCCAAAATAGTCAATATATAGGAAAACAGCCACTATTTTCCCCAAAATATTCCCTTGTGTTACTCCTTCATAATCTACTGCTTTCCTCACTCTTGACCCCTGGACAACCACTGTAGTGTTTTCCTTTTAAGTACAAAGTATGTTCCAATTTTCTCCCAGACTTCTTCGACTTACATATTACTTTGAAATGTTCAGTTAAATGTCCTTATATTTAGAAATTTCCAAATTTTTGTTGTTGATACACTCTTTGTACTAGAGACAATAGAGTAAGAAAATAGTAAAGACATAAATCATTCTTTTGATAAGATTAATATGGCCCAGTATGTGTGTGGCCTATCTTGGTAAATATCCGGTGTAGATTTGGAGGGAAATTCATTACTTCACTGTATTTTGTTTAGCTTTTCTTTGTAATCATGGGAAAGATAGGTAATAAAGGGTCACTCCATCTTACTCCAATAATCACCCTCTTAAATAAGTAACTAGTGTTAGTTAGCTTTTTTCCTCACTGTGACCAAATACCTGAGAATAACAAAAGAGGAAGAACTATTTGGGGGGGGGGGTCATAGTTTCAGAAGTGTAAATCCATCATGGTGAGGAGGGCAGCTCACACCATAAGAACTAGGAATTAGAGAGATTGAGGAAGGGGCCAGGGGCCAGGTATATCCATCGAAGGCATGCCTCCAGTGAGCTACTTCTTCCAACTAGGTCCTACGTACTAATGTCTTCAAAGTATGTCACAAACACTCAAAT